AACAATATATATTTACAGATCAATAAGACACGCAGGAGGGAGAATGCTGAAGGAAGAGGCGTATAAGAGAATGTACAATAGTCATGATGACAAATATCTCTACTCGAAAAGAATCTGGTAAGGAAATGCATACCATGAAATTCCTTATCTGTAGATTTATCTTCTGTATCGTCGTGTTTAAAACAAAGGGATCTGAAGGCGAAAGCAGCGATTGTAGTTTTTTATCATCTGTGACTTGCCTTTCCACTAACTTTTCATTTTGTTAACGTCACAAAAGCGACAAAAGTTTACAAAAGTTAGTAAAGGAATTGATGCATCAGGATAGTCTGAGATTAGACGCTCCTTCATCAGGATCCCTTATCAGTATCCTTTATCAGTCATTATCCTCCTTATCAGCACCTTTAGGGATGACTGACGTTCTCGGCGTGGGACCTAACCTCGGGTTGGTGAGGAGTTCATTTCTAAAAATAATTTGTACATGTTTCTTTGGATGAGATATCAGGTACAACCAACCCGCAACGTCGAAGTATCTGTTAGACAGACACGGTACAACAAGAAATTTAAATAAATAAATAGAATAATTTATCGGTGACACTCAAGCCGCTATATATATAGTATATGAGTATCTTACATAGTAATCAAGGATGATGCACAGTATCGTGCCGGTGCTGTCGTTTCTGCTATGTCTTCCCACGTAAAGTTATTCTGTACCCTATTTGAGATCACAAGGCAAATTCAGGTGAGTTTAAAATTGGAATATATATAAATAAAAAACAGAAATTTAGAATTGTTTGAGATTTGACTTTTCCAGTTCGATAGATGATCGAAGACATAGTAAAGACAGACAGCTGGTCAGACGAGGAACGCGGTCATGAATCTCTTTGAGAATGAGGCACATGTCCGGATCCTTTTCTCTTTTTTCTTTGCTTTTTTGCCGCTATTAACGGTGGGCGGTTCACCAGGGACGAAGAGCCCTCTTAAGAATTAATATCTGGAAGTAAGAATTATATTCGCTCCTACGGTTGGCGTCTGTCACTGGTCAGCGAAGGACTACCAGCAGAGCTCATGACATAAATTACAGGATTGGGATGACAGTTCACCTAGATAAGACCTAGTTTAGGCGAAGAGTAGACTATACTTAGAATGATTACACAAAGTGGCGACTGAAGAGGCACTCGTGGAGTCGTGTGAGAGGTGTAGGTGAGAGGCATGATGAAGGCACAAACGGCGCGGTGGTGGCAGAGCTCAGCGGAGGGCCTGCCGGCGTCTTCAGCTGTTGTACAACATGCACCTCAGCTTCGCCGTCTCGGATTTGAGCGACGCCACTTCGACCCGGAGCTTGAGGTTCTCCTGCTCGAGGAAGGCGGCGCGGATCGCGATCTCGTCCTCCTTGGCCCGGCGGGCGTCTCGGGACCTCTTGGCGGCCTCGTTGTTCTTGCGGCGGCGCTCCCAGTAAGCCTCGTCCTTGACGCCGTCGCCGCTTGCTCGCCCGCGACGCTTGGTGCCGCCGCCGCCGTTGGACGACGTGGAGCTCTGCGTGTCCCCTGCGTCGAACCCGTCGTCCCTCGCCTTGGCCTCCGGCGCGTCCCCACACCTCCTGGCTGGGGTCCATGTGGGCCTCGGCCGCCGTGTCAGCGAGCCTTGCGTCGCCGCTCCCCTGGCTCGACGTGCGCGACGCCTGCGAGCGCCGCGCCTTCGCCGACGTCACCTGCGCCAGCATCTGGTCCCGGAACCTCGAGTAGGCCTCGTTGCTCTCCGCGTTGAGGACCGCCTCGCCCTGCGCCCCGCCCATCCCTCCAGGCATCGCGCCCCTCGCGCCGCCGAGGCTTCCCGGGCCACTGCCGCCCCCAAGGCTCCCGCCGCCCCGAAGCCCCCGCCGAGCCGCCAACCAGCCCATCCAGGGCGCCGAGGCCACCGGAAGGATTTGGGCTGCTGGAGCTCATGTTGAGCGCCCCCGAGCCCAGCAGGGCGCCGCCGCCTCCGAGGCCGGAGCTTCCAAGGCCTCCTGGCCCCAAGCCGGGGCCTGCGAGGCCTCCTCCCCCGAGGCCGGAGCCTCCCAGCCCGCCCCCCGAGCCGGGCCCCCCAGGCCGGGCCCCCGAGGCCGACGCCTCGAAGCCGCCTCCGACCAGACCCGCTCCCCCGGCAGGCCGCCGAGGCGAGGCCCCCGGCGCGCGCGAAGGGCAGTGCAGGTGCGAGGGCGACGAGGACCGCGGGGGTAATCCATGGGCGGCGGCGAGGAGCTGCGCGCCGGCAGGTGCGACTTGAAGGGGTGGCCGGCCATCTTGGACTTTGCTGAGGGCGGACTGTAGAGGTGGAGAAGAGCAGCGGGTTGGAGTGGAGCTGCGACAGGAGCGTGGAGTTGAGGGCGGCCGCGGTGCGTTCGGGGAGGCGTGCGCCAGTTGGGCGTGCAGATGCTGCTGGATGGAGCCCAGGTGGGGCTGGGGGCCGGGGGGGCTGGTGGCCATCGGCGAGGGCGGGCTGTGCAGGCCGGCGGGGGAGGCGGGCCGGTCGGGGACGCGCTGGTCACCGACACGCCCGATTCGGAGGAGCGCGACCACACGGGGCGCTCCGGGCCAGGTGAGGCGCCGCCGCCGTGGCCCTCCTCCGCAGGCTGCAGCGGTCGCTGTCGCTGTTCTCGCCGGCGTCGCTGGCGGGGGACATCTTGCCCTTCTTGGGTCGAGAAGTCGAGCGGCTGCAGGTCCGCGTGCGCCTCGAGGTACAGCTCGGGCGAGGGCGACATGCGCGGTGGGTGCATGAGGGGTGCAGCCCCCCAGGCGGAACCCGCCCCGGCCGCCGCCAGCAGACCGCCACTGCCCAGGCTCTCGCTCATGGCCGCTTGGAACGAAACGAGACGCCGTCAGGATCACGCGAAACAAAGCACGAAATGGTTGTAAAAATAATTAGAGAATATTAACACTCAGGATAATGGTGAAGGAAATGATCATCTTAAATACAGAAATTGGAATATCAAGAGTGACAATAATTAGTAGGATAAATGTCATTGTATTTCCTCCTACTATAATGATGGTGATGCTGTAACGATAACGATTTTAATGATGGCACTAACACATAATGATAAAGATAATACTACTGCTAGTACCATTGGTAATAAAAAGATAGCAATAACAGTAGCAGTAATGATAATAATGATAACGACAATAATGATAATAATAACAATAATAATAGTAATGATGATAATAATAATAATGATATAATGTCATCATTATCATCATTATTATTATTATTATTAACATCGTTATCATTATAGATGATGATAATGATAAGGATGATAATAATGATAATGGTAATGATGATAATAATGATAATGGTAATGATGATGATAATCAATGAAGATAATAATGACGATGCTAATGATAATAATAATAATGATAACAATAATCATCATTATTATCATTATCATTATTTCTATCATCATCATAACAATATTGATATAATAATGATATTATTATTATAATATAACAATAACAATACAGCAACGCCAGCAGCAATAAGCGAAGGTAGCAACCAACTCAGTGCAATGATAATAATTCTACTACAGCTGCATGATAAAGATACCCACAATATCAACAACGATAACACATCCCTAAATGCAATAATAACCCGAAAATCCCGCTATAAACAACAAAAATAAACAAACAAATGAATGAAAATTAAAAAAAAAAAACACCGAAAGAGGTAGTCCTGGAGGTCGATTTTATACCTGTGTAGAAGTAAGACGCAAGGACTCGTCGAGCTCCGCGTTCGAGTTCGGGCGAAGAGAGTGCCAAGTGCCCTTTGCGCGTCCCGTCGCCAGGAAGTGCCGAGGCAAGTGCCCACGCCGGCGCCGAGAGCCAGGGCAGCACGGGCTAAGGGTGTTCGAACCGCTTCGTTAAAACAGGTGGCGGAACATAAGAGGACAAGGGAGGTCGAGTTGCCGTCGCGAGGGGCAAGGGACGCGGAGCATTCGAGTTTGAAAAAAAAATTATAAACTCGGTAGGTCTCGTTAAAGTATAAGTTTGATGAGAATCTAAGTAAATGTTTTGGTCTACGTATTGTTTTTCTTTTTTTTCGATTATGAGTTTGCAAGACCGCGTGACGACTACAAGTACTTCCACGAACACGTCAAGTCCTCAAAACACTGAAGTTGCTGAGCGTCGACACAGATCTCGGAGCGTGGTCGTGGGTGGACATTGGAGGAGGAGGAGGAGGAGGTACGACCTGCACGACACGGACGACGCAACTCCCTGTCAGACGCAGCCACTTTCATGACACGTGCCGCAAGCCCCCGTAACCTGCGCATGCTCACTCATCCCTTCCTGGCGCAGCGGCGAGAGAGGGGCAGGTGTGTGTCTGTGTGTTTGTGTGTATGTGTGTATGTGCGTGTGTGTGTAAGTGTGTATGTGTGTGTGTGTGTAAGTGTGTATGTGTTTGTATGTGTAAGTGTGTGCGTGGATATGTGTTTGTATGTATGTGTGTGTAAGTGTGTATGTGTGTATGTGCGTGGGTATATGTGTGTGTATAAGTGTGTATGTGTGTGTGTGTGCGTGGGTATGTGTATGTGTATGTATGCGTGTGTGTGTAAGTGTGTGTGTGTGTGTGTGTGTTTATGTGTGCGTGAGTATGTTTGTGTGTGTGCAAGTGTATGTGTGTGTGCTTGATACAGGACGCGCCAGTTTATGACCTTCCCCTCTCGTTATAAGTGATTGTGGTTCTCGTAGAACGCCCTGGTTGGCCGTGAATGAGAGAGAAAATCGTTTCCCTATTGATACAATGCAGTGAGAGACTAACCAAGTATCAAATGGTAATTAACATTAGATAAATCAATGAAAATATCAAATATATTTCCAGTATGTAAAAAAAAGTCCCCTGCATCTCATAACACTTCTATTCCATCACAAGCGCTCTCTTCTCTCTCTCTCTCTCTCTCTCTCTCTCTCTCTCTCTCTCTCTCTCTCTCTCTCTCTCTCTCTTTCTCTCTCTCTTCCTCTTAACCTCCTTCCTCTCATCCTTTCAATTCCAACCTACCACACCGCCTCCTCTTAAAATACACCTTCTCAATCCCTCACTCCTTAAAGGCCTCTTTACCTCTTCTTGCCTTTTATTTACACACCATCTTCGCTCCATAAATTACCCGTAGTCTTAACCACAACCGCACAACCACCCCGTAGCTGTGGCCTCGTTAAAGATGTCTTATTCCTCTCGACAATCGATGGTCAGAGGTATTGTTAAGCCGCCCCTTGCTTCTCCCGCCCTCTAGATATCGTTCTCTCGCCTACAAGGAAGAGGGAGAGAAGAAGAGAAAAGAGAGAGAGAGATAGAGAGAGAGATGAGAGAGAGAAGAGAGAGAGAAGAGAAAGAGAGAGAGAGAGAGAGAGAGAGAGGAGAGAGAAAAGAAAGAAAGAAAAAATATATATGCAATCCAAAAACGATAGACATTTAAGAGGAAAGACTGTTGAAATGTCATGATTAGCTGACTGTTATTGTCCCTCGAATACATCTTGGATAAGGCTCGCAAATGGTATAAGTGAAGAATAAGGACCGTTCATACAGCCAGGTTTAACCCAATTAAAAATCTATCTATCTATCTATCACCAAGAGAGCAAGGGTACAGAACCTTAATTCGAATAAAAGACAAGAAAATATATCACAAAGTAAGAGAAGCGCCCAAGGGTCACCGGTACACGAAGGAATAAATTGACACGTGTTAGTCTATATACAGGAACACACGGTCACGAGAAACCAATAATACTACTGTACACGCGAACTACTTCCTCAAGAAAGAAAAAAATACTTCTACATTATTTCTAGCGAATGGTGATCTCATAACAAAAATCATGAACCGTGATCTGAAAGCAGAAGAAAAACGACATTAACTTTTTCTCCCTGACGCGAGAGTACGTCAGCTGGAATCAGCTCTTGGTCTTCTTTGCTTCCTGATTTACCGCCAGAAGTCCTCGCTCTCTGTCTGTAATAACCTCTAAAGAACGTATATATCAGAGTGATTGAGAGAAAGTGCTCCGGTCAAGAAATATAGTGTAATAGACGAGCTAACAATCATAATTAACGGAGACGGAACGCAACCCGGCAATAAAGATCGAGTGCGGCACCCGGAACGGTGGGCGGAGCTTCCGAGACAAGGAGGAGGTGGAGTTATCGGATCGGGGCGAGACACGGGCAGATGGGTGGAGCCTCGTGTTACGTGGAGGAGCCAACGTGCAATTGATGTTACCTGACAATCTGTTTACGGCTTTATAAGAGAAATTGAGTCATTCTGAATAAATGATAAGAGGTGCTAGGCCTACAACGACACCTCGATGATTAACCGCGATCAGATACACACAGCTGCACGTGTCCCTCAGGTTAATACACTCTTCACACGCGCACTAAAATCTTGTCCTCCTGATGGAATCCACGTGTCCTTAAGTATATGGGGTTTGTCATGTGTACAAGCATTCATCTTTATCATCTTGTGCATCCACAAACACAGTCGATAAGCTCATAGCTGCCACACACACACACAAAACTGTTTCATAGGTATAAACATCTTGAAAAACTATACAAGCATAAGTAGTCTTATAATCATGTACAAATAAACACAGCAATGTTAGTCTAATCACACAAAACATAAAAAAACTATAACTTCTGTCTGTCTGTCTGTCTGTCTGTCTCTCCTCTCTCTCTCTCTCTCTCTCTCTCTCTCTCTCTCTCTCTCTCTCTCTCTCTCTCTCTCTCTCTCTCTCTCTCTCTCTCTCTCTCTCTCTCTCTCTCTCTCTCTCTCTCTCTCCGCCACTTGCTGTTTCTTCGACCAATTTATGTGATCGTTACGACCTTCTTCAAAATTAATAAACTAACGTAATTGTAAAAATAGAAGACGATGATAAAGAAAAGAAAGTGATAGGAAAAAACATTATACAAAGATAACAAGAGAATATATGAACGAAGGTTTGTTGAATGATTATAGTAATAATATTTGACATGTAGAATATACGTGAAATTTCTTAATATTTCATAAACAGTTTAAACTGCTTTTCACAAGCGCACTCACTCATACTAACGAATTATATTCAAGTAGATACATTAATAAAATTATATGTATGTACGCACCACACACACACACACACACACACACACACACACACACACACACACACAATATATATATATATATATATATATATATATATATATATATATATATATATATATTACATATAATGTATACATATGCATATTTATACACACACATAATGCATATATATATATATATATATATATATATATATATTTATATTATATATATATAATATATATTATTACATATAATGTATACATATACATATTTATACACACATAGTGCATATATATATATATATATATTAATATATATATATATATATATATATATTATATATATATATATATATATTATATTATATATATATATATATATATATTATACATATAT